AAACCTCAAAGTCCGCCCCACTGTAACACACTTCCTCCAACAAGGCCATACCCACTCCAACAAAGCCGCTCCTCCTAATAGTGCTACTCTCTATGAGATTATGGAAGCCAGTTACATTCAAGCTACCTGTGGAGTGTTGAACAGTAGAAATGCAGAATCATCCTGTGACACTTGGGATTCTTCAACTGGCTGAAGGCTGTCAAAGACAATATCTGGACCAATACAGAGAACCTCTCAGATTTTAGGGTTTTCAGTTTTAGTCTAGCTGGAAAACAGAGGTTTACAAATATCCATGATTGGGGAGATAATTCCAGATCTTTCATGAAGGAAGGAACTACTATGGAATCCCCTGAAATCAACAGCCAAGGCAAAGTGAAAGCAAAACAAAACACAAAACCCCAAATCAAAACAATAACAAGATGCGTATACAATCAAGACTATCCTAGGAAAGCATTTAAGTCCTGCTTAGAGCCAACAGTTAGCCAGAGAGGAGAGAATGGGGTGTGAGGACTTCGGAACCCCTATTTTTGTTATTCACCTGTTATTTACCATAGCCAGAAGGCAGGTACAGTTCAAGTATGCACTGATAGAGGAATGGATAAGCAAAATGTGGACTACACATTACAATGGCGTATTTAGCCTCAGAAAAGAAATAAATTCTGGTACGTGCTGCAGAACAACGCAAAGTGAAATCAGCCAGAGAGGGACAAATCCTGTGGCCAATTCACAGAGGTAGATATGTTTTTCAGGGGCTCTGACCAGAAAATGGGAGATGCTGTTTAAGGGGTGTAGTTTCAGAGTTGCAAGGTGAGAAAATTCTCGAGGCTGCTTTGTAATGGTAAATCTTCCCTCCCAATAGTACTTTATTCAACAACCAATAAGAAGATAAATATATACATAAGGACATTCCCCATCACTGCTTGCTCAGTGTAAATGTACTTAACACTACTGGACAGTATGGTTAACTGTACTGAACTGTACATGGTATAGCACACCTGTAATCCCACCACTTGGGAGGCAGAGGCAGGCAGATCTCTGTGAGTTAGAGGCCAACCTGATCTACAAAGTGAGTTCCAGGACAGCCAGACCTGTTACACAGAGAAACTCTGTCTGGGGGGTGAGGGGTACTTTCTCTGTGATGTGTGTTTCCCACAATGGAAAAAAGTCAACAATGAACTACAGGCGAATCTGATTTCTTAATCCCTGGTCTCCTGTCCCTTCCTATTCAAATCAGGCCTTTGTCCCTATGGTCTCCAGAGAAGGGCTTTATTGATTACTATTATTATTGTTATTATTATTATTATTATTATTATTATTATTACTTTTGGCCTAGCATTTATTTGAATTCATACATAGGTGGAGATCTGCTGCATCTCTCCTTTGTTTTTTACTAAGCATATGTTATAGCTGAGCTAATGAAACTGTTGTTGACAAGTAGGCAGAATGGCCTGGCTCCTAAGCTTCACACTGGATTTAGTTGTCACAGAAAATGCCTAATGTGAGAACTGATGAACTTCCTTAGAACAACTGCAATACTTCTACTTTCAAAGTATCAACATATAAAAACACAATTGTACTGAGACTCCATAGGATTTTGGGAGGAGTTAGAATAAAAATTGAGTTTGTGGCCTTCAGAAAGAAGGAGCTTTGGTCCAGGCAGCATCAATGGAATAAACCAGGAGGAGGGTGTGGGGAGAAACAGAGCACACTGCTCAGTCTTGGAATAATACAGCCTCAGTTCTCATAATTTTGGGTTTACAAATAATATCTTGATGCAAAAATGATTTCTCCTTGCCTCTAAGAAGACTATTAGGCAACCACATTCTCTGCAGTTGGAAAAAAATGTAGTTTCACACAGTGTGCATGCGAACTCGTGTGAATGTGTGTGTGTGTGTGTGTGTGTGTGTGTGTGTGTGTGTGTGTATCCTAGGTGCACCCAGCATGCCTTGCCCCCAGGAAACAGTCAATAAATGGTTATTGAATTTAGAGCATCCTTCTTCCCAATCGCTGATGTTTAATCTATTCCCAATTCAGAATATCTATTAACTTTGCAGCATCACTAAGCCTTTAAAAAAATCCATTTGTGGATGCCTTTAAAGACTCCTCAGTAAATATTACTATACCGATTAAAAGAAAGCTGTTAAAGGAAGCATGCCCATTCAACACACAGGTAGCCATTGGTAAAATGTAATTTAATTTAATTATTAAATTTACATTGTTAATGTACAAGAGCATTTTTTTTTTTCAAACCACAGGTTAGCACACTCTAAAAAGCAATGCTGTTAGAGGAGAAGGGCTTGGGAAACTCAGCCATTTGAAACAAAAGCAAGGCACTCTCCAATAACAGCGGTAGATTCCAGATTTCCAGCTGTGGGTGGCTTCACACTGAGAGAGCACTCCCCCAAGGGGAGGACTCAACTGCTTTAATGCTTGTTCTCCTCAGAGCTAGTGTGCCATCCACTCTGCGTACACTTGTGTGTCAACATTAAAAAAAAAAATTGAACAGCTAGACTTGAGAGGTTCTCATAGTTGTGATAACTATGGAAGACAGAAGAACACTGGCAGTATAGTCTTTCCTTATAGCACTAGTGTCTGGCCCTGTAACTAAAACAGCTCCATTATTTCTTCAAATCAGCAGATATGACACCTAGACAGTCCTTTCCCTTCAATCTGATGGGTTGACAAAAAAGGAACAGCATTTCCCTAGAGCACTGTGCTGCTGTTTTGCTTTGCTTTTCAGACAGGACAAAAACAAGGATTAACTTTCAAATACTCAAGGTGCACAAGAAGGTTATGTACGCTTAGTACTTCTAATTTATTCAAATTCAATTTGAATTTGGTCTGAAGCGATCTTGTGTGAAATGTTAGCTTTCCTGATATTTAATAATGTTTATTATGTTTGCATATAAGCTCAACAAATTAATGCCAAAGTACTACTTTATTCAAGGCTGTCTGCAGGTAAAATGTTAATATGAGTGACTATGCTTAAAAGTCTATTTTCCTATAGATGCAGTGAGCTGTAGGGGAAGGACTAAGCAAAGGTGAATTAAGTCTTAGTCTCAATTCTGTTGCAGCTGTTTGCCCTGCAATGGGCCCCTGTTTTCTCCATTGTGAATTTCAGGAGATCTGATCAGATGATGAGCCAGGCCCCTTTCAAGTCTGAGGCTCAAACTCCTAGTATTCCAGGCCCTGTCATCTTGATAGAAAAGTAATATCTTTCATAAAATCCCACACAAAGTACTCGATCAAATATCCAAATGATTTGGAAAAAAAAGAAAGGATATGATTTGTTGTCTGGGTTATACTTTGCAGCAATTAAGCAATTCATTTGGCATTTGTTTGGTTGTATAATTTAATGACAATATAAACAGCATAGTTTGTTATTTTTTTAAGACTAAAGCAAAAATGATTTAAAGCTAACAAAAGCTACTGTGATATCAGTTTGACATTCAAAGTTTGATTCTTAGCAAAACAGCCAAAGGTATCTTGACTTGATACAGAGTATATAATATAAAGACTTTTAGACCTAAAAATCTTCAAACATTATTAGAATTTAGCAAAACATAAGCAAAATTTTCATATCAAAGTGCTAAACAGTGCTGCCTTAAAGGTCACTGCAAATGAAGGATAAAATAATGGTGTGGGAAGTGACATTTATTGTACAAATGGTTAATAAAAAGACACATTATAAATATATATGTAACCTGCTATGTTTATATATATATATATGCTTATTTAATTTCTAATTGGTGCATCCAAGTCACCACAGACACCCCATTTGATTATTCTGTAACTCAGCCTCCAGGAGCTGGTGGTCTTGCAATAAATACAGGCAAAGCTATTACAATATAACGTGCATACAAATGTTCATACAAATAAGGACACTATGCAACAAATTATTTCATAATAATATGGCATCAACAGTAGAAACATATAAAAGGGGGCACAAACACGGAATGTTGAACTGCAACCCACTAATCTTTTCTAGTACTCACATTAATACTAGGTTTTTACTTTTTTTTTTTAAAAAAAAGATGATTCACTTGCTTTCCAAAATTGTCTCTTTAACCAATAACAAAAATTAGATTATATATATATAAATCCTTATCACCTCTGGTGCTTACCCTGTATGACCCAGTTCCTACTTATTTGCATGTTCTCCTTGAAGGGATGCACACACTTGATAGATTCACCCAACACTCCTTAGGCTTCTGAATGGATGAACCAGAAATTGCTACAACCTTAGTAGGTTTAGAGAACTATGTCCAGGTTGATACAATGAATGCAGTTGTGTGCAATCCATTTTATAACCTGATCCCCTTCAGGACATCTGGATAGTCATCAGGGGGCAAATTCCATCAAGAATGGCCTGAAAGTCTTAGAGGGGCCATACCTCTGAAGGGTTCTACAGGGCAGGCAGATCAAGCCTTTGCTAGGAAAATGAGCGTGTCATTTGCTAACATGACTGCCTCCTTATTTTCATATAAAATAAGGGAGAGTTCACAAACAAGACTTAGTAAGACAGCACTTTAAAAAATTGCACTTGTATATGGAAGCAAACAGCCATTATCATTTGCTAAGTCCAATTTGTAGATAGTCTTCCATCTTTTGCTATTTTTTTTTAAGAAGAAAGAAATGAAAAGGGAATTTTCTGCCTTGCTTGCATGACGTATGTACCCTTGATACAGGAAGTATATCCTAAAGGGATCAGTCTTAAGACACAGTCTACCCTGGTGAACAGCCCTTGGCTGTTCTTGTTTTTAAATACAAAGCAACCATAATTGTATTCCCCAGAAAGAGTTTTAAACAGTTATATTATCCTTCCCCACTGCTGGGATAGCATCATCCAAAAGTGCTTTGTCAGCAATTTCTTAGAAAAGCCTCATGAACTATATACCCCCCTCCCACCCCACCCACCAAAGCCTAAATACAAAACACAACCCCAACACAATACTCTGCAAGGTTTCTGGCTTTAGGTTGTAAGGAAAGGTGCCAGGAGAAAAAAAAAAAAGTCTTTGCTTTCTATGGGAGCTGTTTTTCCCCTGAAGGAAGGACAGAGTGGCAGGTGCTCAGACCCATCCCTTTGCTAGCTTAATGATCAGATGCCATCAGAGCAAGGGGTTCCCTGCTCAGAAAGGCAGGGTATCAAGGAAGAGCTTGTCGATAATAGAAGGTGGGGCCACCAAGTCCTCCAGCTTCAGGTAGAAGATGCGCTGGAGGCCCTGGGTGCAGATCTTCCTCAGTTCCACCAGTGCACGAAGGACCTTGGGCTCGGTGGGCTCTAGGGCCTGCCCCTTCCTCTGGTGGTCCTTTAAGCTGCTTGTGATCTTGTTGCATAGCTCCTCCACTCTCTTTGGTTCTTTTAACCCATGTCGCTCTGCAGAAGGACAGAGGAGGGTAAGTTTGGGAGGGCAGGTCAAACAGCACAAAAAGTTCTAATCAAGGTCTTTCTCCCTTTCTGCCAGATGGGTTAGGCATTTTACAACCAGAATGCCCTTTGTGGATTGGGGTGATAGCTCAGTTAGTAGCTCTGTTAGGTCATGCTTTTGATTCCCCAGAACCACCAGGTGTGGGGGCACATGCTTACAATTCCAGCACTTGGGAGGCAGAGATGGGAGCACCCTGAGGTTTGCTGGCCAGCCAGTATTGTCTACTTGGCTTGGCACAGGAAAGTGAGTTAACTTTCTGTCCTGAAGCAAGAGGGAGCCATTGATGTGAGTCCCTTAACACCTGATTCTATGCTTCCATGCTAGCAGGCTTTGGGAAAAGCCAGCTTTCATTTCCTTGTTTTGTTTCTTCACTCAGAACACTCACTGACTTATGCCTGGCACTCTACTAGGAAACACACAGAGGCAGAGAAGGAAAATTCACAGCAGAGTGGGGGAGAGGGTGGGAAGACATGAAGCAGCATTCATTGAGATACAGAGAGCATCCCTTAATTGCACAAAACTATACAGAAAATTATTTCCATGTTGAACATGGGGATCTTTTTGGTAAAGCTAGTGATGTTCTCCATAACACAGTTGCAGAAAGCTGGTGTTTGAAACCCATCTTCCAGGCAGTTTGTTCGCTGGCTGAAAAGCTCTGTTGGGTCTCACTATGATGACACAGGAGCCAACACATCCCATAGGAGTGACTTTGCTCTCACAGGCTGTGCAGAGCAGAAGCTATTTTCTAAGAGAAGATTGCGGTCTCCTTTATCCCAGTTTTCCTCTATTGGTATATTTATATCTAGAAAGTGTGTGTGTTATTAGAAAAACTATTTCCCTAAAACAAAAGCTAAAGAAAACAAGTATCCAGGCATTATTCTTTCTTGTCCCCAAAAGAAGAGGCTTGTAAACCAGGAAAATGGCCTTCTCAGTGCGGCTAGGGTATATGACTTGGGTAAGTGCTTTCCTCACTAGGGCCTTATTAAGGGAGGAGGCTGGAGTTAAGGGCCCCTAAGGCCCCTTCCAGAGCTGATAGGTCAAGATTATTTAAGTACAGCAGGGAAATCACTCCTGGGGTCTCAGTGGATTGTGGCTTGCAGGTTTCTGGTCTAATGAAGTATTTTATAGAGAAGAAGCCTGGGGTTTAGAAATGAATCCAGTTCTGACTCTGCCCTTTACCCTGTGGCCCAGTCTCTTCAAGACTCAATGTCTTATGGGAGTTAGAGGGTGGAAAATGCATGGGTCGGAGTCCTACTCTTCCTATTCATCTTCAACATTTTGCAGTAAATTGACAAAAGAGTGTGACTATTATATAAATGTCCTCCAACTAAGATGATGTTACAGATGCCAACTGAAGAGTGATACACACTGGGATAGTCAATGCCTGAGACAATGGCTGATGCTTGGTGAGTGAGAGCTGCAAGACTAAACAGAAAACAGAGCCCTGACATCCCCAAGCTTTGTGGCTCTCGACTCTGCATGCCCTAGGAAACTATTAGTTGGTTAGCCAGGTGCAAATCTCTGCACTAAATGCATAGCCCCTGTGCTTCAAGTTCAGAAGAAACACTGAGATTGGACCTTGAGGACTCCTGCTGCCTAAAGTTTTATTCTATGCCCAAAGCATAGAACCAAGTGGCAAATTTGGCAGTAAGTTTCAAGAGTTATAAAATGTTCATAGCTCTGACCAAGCTGCCCCATTGTTGGGAACTTATCCAAAGAAGAAAGCCAATTGAAAAAAACAACAACCTTGCATGTATGGAAATATTTGGTGCAGCATTTATCTATGATAACCCCACACTCAAAAACCCAAACAAAGGAAACACAGGGAGAGATACAGGGTTGGAGAACAGGGAAACTGTTGAGTAAATAACAGCGTGTCCATACAGTGGAAGATCCTAAAACTATCAGGGATAAGTATGAAGATTATTAGACAAGATAGAAAAATATAAATATTAAATGAAGAAGAGACTATTAAATAGTACCTAGGCTGTGATCACACCTATGCAAAAATAATACTAGAAATCTGGGGTTGATGAGATGGCTGAGCGGTTAAAGGTAGTCTGTGATAACTCTGATGCTCCGAGTTCTGTCTCTGGTCTCCACATGGTGGAAGAAGAGACATGGACTCCCCATATTGTCTTCTTGACCTCCACAAATGCACTGTGTAATGTGCATGCGTTCACACATACACACAAAATAAATAATTTTTCCCTTCACATAAAGGATGAAAAGAAACAAAATGTGATAATACCCATGAGATAAGTGGATGTCTCTCTTATCTTTCTTTTAAAATTTCTAGATTAGTGTTACTTTGGAGAATAATGTTAAAACAGAAGAAGGTGGAAGATAATCCTTCATTGAACCCCTGTCATATGTATGTCATGGCCAAGCACTAACTTGCTAATATGAAATTCTATTATCACTGAGACACATTAAATCTGATTTACAAGCTCAGGAGAGGAGGTGTCTCTCACAATCAACTGCCAGTCCATTAACTGAGGCTTTCCCATCCTTCCAGGGCTTCCTGTCTTACAGAGCATCCAAGATCCCACACTCATTATCAGGATGAAGAAACTGAGCAATTTGTCGGGTGTGATGGGAGCGGGGGTGGGCGATTGATCGTGGGACCTTAGAGCCAGACTTTCTCATGGCCAAACTCACAGGCGGGAGCATGGAGTTTTCTCTGCTCTCCAGCCAGTCTGGGCTGCTCAATAACTATGGCAACCATTATTTATTCAGCGAATTGAAGTGGAGATCGATACCTCCTGCCAGCTGGATCAACCGGGCCTGGAATTCCTTGAGGAATTCATAGACACTCCTGTTAGGAGCCAAAGGCACCTCACTACTTTTTTGTTGCTGTGAACACTCACAGGATCTGTGGCTTCCTTAGTTTTCTACAGGAGCTAAGATAAAATTCAGTTTCTGTGTATACTCCTGCCAGCAGCCAGCAAGGGTTTCAGATCATCAGGGAGTCACCAAGTGTCTGGAACCTTCTCAGCAATTTAAAATTTCTTAAAATTCTAATCACTGACATTTAGTTGAAGGGACACCCTCCCACCCCCCTTTGCAAATTGGCAAACAGCTACAGAGCTGAAATCCAGAGTTCATAAATACAGAGGGAGAGAGGGAGTCAGATATTTGGATTTTCTCCTTTCCTAGAGAATTAAGTATAGAAGATTAAGCTTTTTCTGGGGAGGAGGGGTGCAGCTTGGTAGTAGAATACTTGCCTGGCATTTGTGATGCCCTGGGTAGGAGTATCAGCAATGAAAATGAAATTTCCCCTGTAATTTGACCCAACAAGCTTTTTGCATTGGATGTATATAATACTCATTTTTTGCCTTTCAGTATTTTAACTCAAGCATTATGTTTCCAAGACATCAAAGCAGAATTCATAGTCACAGTTAAGTATTAGTAATATGTCACAAACATTATGTACATTGGAAGGGATTTGATTTGCTCTGTTTAAATCCCCACCTAAGAGAAGAATTTCCACTACAAGGCACTACAAAACCAGAGTCAGGTTCCAGCTAGACTGGCACATCAGTCATTTCAATCTGCTAACATACTCACCTAATAGCCCTGACATTATACTCTCTGACTTGGATTATTTTAGCTCAGAATGAGACAGGACAATCTGTTATCTTTAATTAATATGTAAGAAGACTCAAAGAGTTAAGTTTAATTCACAAGTGGCTAGTTTCTTTCAAACCAAATCTGAGAGATTTAGCTCACAGCTGGCTGGCTATCTGCCTTTGACTGCCTTTAATGGTTAGACAGTTTCTCCTCATTCTGATATGAACCAGCCTTCCTTTAGCATCCTCCTACTTTCTGTGTACCTAATTAACTAGTGGCTAATTACTTCTTTCAATAGGTGTTTATTAAGTACCTAGTCTGTGGCAAGCAGTGCTGTAGACAGGGGGGTCCGAGCAGTGAAGAAAATAGCACACTTTACACGGTGGGGCAGTACTTGTCAAAAGACAAGTTTGGATTCCTGTGCCTGTTAGCTATCTATGTCACAGATGGCTCTGCTGGGCAGGAAGAGGACAGGAGGCAGTTGGAAGGAAGGTAGGAGGAGAAGAGGAAGGAGGAAGGGAGGTGGAGAGAAGAGGGAGGAGGGGAGAGTGTGTGGGTTGATTGAGTGAAATAATGAGACACTTAAGTCTATGCTCGTGTTCTTCCCCCTTAAGCTAGTTGAGATTCACTAATCTCAGATCCATCACTCCGTCAAGGAAGCTTCCTTCTTGGCTCTTAGTCTAGGTCAGATTCTCTTATAACACAGGATCCTCTCCCTTTCCAGGACATGCATGTTTGAAATCTGACATTCATGTGACAATTGCCTGCCTCTTTCATTAGATTTAAGTTCCCTGGAGAAATACCCTATATTTGCTCACTGTGGTCTCATGTCCTGCACTAACCCTAGCACAACAGGGACACCTAATACGCGTCTGATAGATGAATCTGTAAGATGGAGGACCAAAGTCATTTAAGAAATGATTAAATAAACACTAAATGTGGAAGTTGCCCAGATTAAAAGGATGAGTTGGGAGTTGTTAAGACACTCGCTCACAATAGTAGGAACTTTATAAACTCAGACTTCCCATGCAGAAACTCCCTCTCCATACTTCTCAGATCTGTCAGCTATTAGCTGGGTGACTTTGGGTCTGTCTCCATGCTTGTGTAAGAGGACTAAAATGGCAGTTGCCTCTTTTCTTGCTGTGAGAATGAAAAGATCCTTACATGCAGAGTACTTGGAATAGTGCCAGGCATGTAGTAGGCACTTAATAAATACTTGCAAATACTCTCTGTATTTAAAACTCAATTCATTACCTTCCATGTTGGCCATGGCTCTGAGTTCATCTGCATGGAAATCTTCCCCAAACTCTTTTGGGGATCCCTTCTTGGGGGGCCTATTAATTTAACCTATGCCAGTAACTTCAGTTACTCCTTG